TTCTATCGGTGGCTCTCATCGACCAAGGAAAATGCCGACCTCTCTCTCTATCGGTGGCTCTCTGAGACGGGTAAGGCATTCCTTGCGGCTGAGGCGAATCGAGAAAGTAAAGCTGAGGCTCCTACTCCCTATGTTTAATTCTTTCAAGTATGCATGTTAGATTTATCTTTGTGAATCTTTCAAAATACATCTCTGATTGGTTTTGATTTGTTTGTGATTTGTATCTTTAGGTGGAGAAAGGCCGAGATGGAGATGAAAAGAATGGAGGTATGATTCTCAATCTATATACATTGTGGACCGGTTTAAACAATATTGGTGTTGGTTTACTTTTTTCTATCTTTGTGTCTTCGGATTGATTGTGTTTGATGTCTTTAATTGCATAAAGCCTTTGTATTTGATGTTTTGAAATGGATATAACCTTTGTCTTTGAATTGGATATAACCTTTGTGTTTGATTTCTTTATTTGCATAAAGCCTTTGAGTTATGTTACGATTGTTCTAGAATTTTAATCTTGTATGAAATGAATTTTTCATTTGGATAAAACCTTTCTATTTGCTCTGTTTTGATATTTTTGTGCTTTGTGTCTTTAGATGGGAAGATCAAGCGGCATGATCAAGGTTAAGGGAGGAGAAAAAAACTCCAGAGTTTGATAAAGATAAATGCTATCTCTCTGTTGAATTTGATAAAATCATTGGGTTAGTTTCTGTCTTGAATTGGATATAGCATTGTTTGTGATTTATGGATAAAGTTACGCGATTGTTCATAAATTGATTTTAATGGTTAGATAGTAATTGATAATTATGGTTGGCATGTAGTAATAAATGTATGGTTAGTGTTAAATTATGGTTGGCATAGGTAATAAATATATTTTATGGTTAGGTAGCCATGAATGGTGATGTGTGTTGAATGCGTTAGGTTTATGTCTACTCGGTTTGGCTGGCGATAATGAATGTGTTTATGTTTCTCGCAAATCTATAAAAAAATTCATTCTCCTTTTTTTTTTTTAAATTCATTTCAAAACTCAATCTCTGAGATTTTACTCAACCTCACTCAATCTCTGAGCTTTTACTCAATCTCACTTTCCTATCTTCCCTAGTGGACTCTAAACCATCGTCTACCCAGCCTTCTAAATTTGTTGAACAACTGAATAGTCAACAAACTATTT